AATTTAACGATTCTGAAGGTAAATAAAAAGTCCTATTTATTCAGTTAAAGGAAGCGGATATCTTAAAGTCGAAACACATAATAAATCCTGTTTTATGTGTTTTTTGTCGTACTTTTTCGTCGTTTCCTTTTAGTTTGTTTTGTTTTTTGGGGGGTCAAAGCCACATGTTTTTGGTCACTTGGTTAAGGCCTGTCCAGGCGGAGACGAACAGTTGTTGTGGCGTTCTCGCGCTGTTCTGCCTTCGTCCCGTTTGTTTTTCGACTGGCCAGCGGGGCGTATGCGTGATCTGGGCGGTGTCCTTTGTCCTGTTCTCGCCGTTGCCTGTTTATTTGCATTGTTCGCCGGGCGTCGCCGTTGTCCTCGCTGTTGGATGTTGGCGTGTGGCACTTGTGCACTTTGTCACTTTTGTTTTAACGCTTACGCTTTATTGAGTTAATCGCTTTATGTCCGGCATTTCCCTCCGCTGTTTGCCTTTCTGCACTTTTGCCAGCTCAGCACTTTTAATTAATCCAGCAGCCCGAGATAGTTGCTCTCGCTTTACCCGCTTTTCCTGCTTTTCCAGATATTCCCCTACCTGCATTGCTTTTCCAGCTGCTTCGCTTTGGTTTAATCGCTGTTGTTTTTTTTATTTTTTTGGCAAATAAAGTTTAATGTGTTTTTATTGATTACATCAGTGCGTGGACGCCCCCATCTCCCCTTTCTGTGGTCATTATATAAATATACGCGTATCACCCTATAAACCTCTTTTCCCTTTGGCCAGCTGGAATTTTGATTGAGCATGTTTGTTGATTTATGTGTGCCAGTTGTGGAATTTATGTGCGGTCATTGTGAAATCCAGCAGAAAAAACAATAAAAGCAGCGAAAGGAACGAAATTAAATAAAACTGAAACGCGCACAAATAGTATGATAAACATTTCATTTAATGTGTTCAAAAAAAAATGTTAATTTTACATTAAATATGTGAAAAAATGCGTTCATAAATAATTCCCTCAGTTTTTGCGCTTATAAGTATGCAACAGATTTTGTATTACAGATTAAAGCACTTGAATGCTCACTTTCAGTTAATTGAAAAGTATTGGGTTAAAATGAACAGAAATTCGGATGGGCACGTATTTCAGATTACAGATTTAAAGAGGCAGGAAACTGTTTATAATTTTTAAATGCCCAATTAGTGTTTTTCGAGTTTATTCTTTATAGCTCATTTAGATTATACAAAATCGCGAAAAAATTTGAACATCTTTATTTTGTTCAACAAATTTCTAAATAATTGTTTATTTTTCTTGCTGGTGAATAACTATAATTTGACCAAACATTGTATCAAGTCTCTAACCATTTTAACTTAACTCTATTTATATTGAAATGCAAACTCTAAGCTACTACTTTCAATTCCATACTTCCATTTCCCTTTATATCTCTTTTTGCGGTTAAAACAAATTCGTTTTTCTATTGAAAATTTCATAGCTCTCGTTTGCCAGCTTTGCATGCCAAACGAGAGTTGATGATTTATTATGTTGCATTTAGTTGCGACACATTTGCATAACACTCATACGACCTGTGAGCATCGCCGGCGATAGGAAAAGACAGGCATGGTTAGTGAGGGATGTCTGTAGAATATGTAAATAATATTTCAACAATAATTGCTTTTGAAGCCAAAGTGCCCTGAGATGCGTCCAACTGTCTTACTGTTCAGTCCAAGCTTGCACTCCCTGCGATTGTAATGATGTCTTCACTGGATTTCCCCTCTTATTTCCATCCTTTAGTTATGACACAATGCACAAGAAATGGACAGGACGAAGGACATCTGGCCGTGCTGGCTGAGTTGATGATTATAATCTTCTGTATTCTCAGGCCAAACGAATTTCCACTCAATAACTACCGACTTGAATAAGGCCCGAAGACAATCGGAATTGGATTCTGCATTATTACGGAGAAAATCTAGGCTTAGGCTAAGTTAAATTGTATTTCCATCTACAAAGTAAAGTAAAAGACATCTTAAAGAAACAGTAGATGAAAATTGGGAAAAATATATTATATATAATATGACAAAGGTATATAATCTACCTAAGCTTACGGATGTTTCATATAATAGTGCGAAGTACTACTTAGAACATATTTACCACAAATTGTTTATATATATTTTATATATAAACATTAAAGCTTACTATTGTTTAATATTAATAATACTTTAAGAAAAAAGTTGTTAAGCTGCTAACAAAAATTAGAATAATGTCAAACTTTGCTAACCTTAAACTTCTAATGCCGTTGTAAAGATACAGCGGACCTCAAACAAAACTAATTATAATTAAAGCAAATTTCAGTTTTGTTTGCTTGAATTTTTTCCCGGCTTTTTTATCCAACATCAAGCGAGTAGAACAATTTGGGCAAAACAGAAAGCGACGCCGTCGGGCTAACGACACTCGAATCAAAAGCGATAATCTATGGCCCCCCGGCAAGAAAACCTTTCATAAAATACAGAAACAGTCAGTGGGGGAGTGGAAAAAAAACCAGAGGAAAGCGAAATAAGTAGCCGCACTTTATATTTATGAGCAACATTCGCATGCAGCTTTAATGGCCATCGAACTGGAACTGGAACTGGACAACAGGAGACGACGGCGACGACGATGAACGACGATGACGATGACGCCCACAAAAAATACATTTCCTTTTTGGATTATTTAACTGCCATTGACGACGTTGAATGAATGAATGGCTGGCTGACAGGAGGAAGGAGCCGAAAAGAGCGAAGCCAAGCAAATAGAAATAAAAGTGGGAGGGTATGAGAGTGGCCCGCAGGCCACGAAAACGGAGAAAAATGCAAGAATTTTCCGACTTCCCTACCCGCTCAGTTGAGGAAAAACTACCTGAGGGGGTGGCGCGTTCGTTCTGTGACTGGTTATTTATTTGCTCGTTTATTTTCAGCACTTTTTCGGCGCATTTATTAGAAGTTGTTCAGCCTTCGGGCCACAAAAGGGGTGGCAGAAAAATAAAAGGAATACGAAAAACTTCTTGAAAGGCAGCGAATTTTCCCCTTAGCAGCTTTGCCTTCGAATTGAAAATCATTTGTAAATCAAATTGAAAACTCTGCCAAAGAGATAGCTATGCACATAACAAGCTGTGACGGGGTGGTTGGTAAATTTGTCAGAACCAGCGAACATCATTCGTCATGATGGAGCCCCCAGATTCAATCGTTCTGCGTGGGCAGGGTCCAGGATTATATTTGCACAGCAGTGAACTTTTTAGCCCCAGGGTGGAAAAAAGGCTGGAAAATGAGTCGGAGCCAGATAATGCTGATTAAGTCGATGGCACACAGAGGCGGCAGTTTCGGCTTGTCAACTCTTATCCACGAAATTCTTAATTGTTCGTTATTAATGATGCTGCTGATACTGCGGCTGTTATCTGACTTTCAAATTGAAAATGACTGAGGAGGAGCGGTACGGACTTTGATGAATGTCCGAGTGTGAAAAACCACAAACGGGCTAATTGATTGCCCAAAGACTTGACTGGGATTTCAGTTTCAATCTTTCTCCAACATAGGACACAAATCAAAACGAGGGCCAGACAAATTAATGCCAGCAGAGAAGCTAAAAATTCTAGAAGGAGAGAAAGGAGGGAGGTGTTTTAGCTAGGCAAACGAGAATCAATAATAAAGACTATTTAGCTATTGCAAATGAGAATCGCCGAGAAGTACCCCTACCTATACTTTATGAGAATCGCAGAGAGCGGTCTTTCAGCTGAGATAAATAAAAATCACAGAGTAAGACCCCTTAACTCTCAGAGAGAAGCCTAGCCAAAACAAATTTAAATGGAAAGTGAGTGTCATAAATAAATTGCTGCTTCAGCAGTTTTCAATAAATATAAATGGCAGTCCTCTTTACCACCGACTATGTTTTCTCAAACTGAGGAACACCACTTGACAATCAATAAGTTGAAAGAAAATGGAGGCGCATCAGGAGCAGGAGCAGCGAGTTAATAGAGGTAGTTCTTGGAAGTGTAAAAACACTCGAGTTCCATTTGCCTCCTGACGGACGCACATAAATTTTCGATTATGCGCACCATTAGACACGAATTGAAGAATTCATCAAAAGAGATTTTTCGGCTTGCTTTATGCGAGGGAAATTTTGCTGTTTTTGCAGACTTCCAATTTGATAATGGGTTTAGCAAAAGAATATGCCGGTTGATGTTGGTGTGGGGATTTGAATAAAGCTAACAAGTAAATATTTATGTAGAACCGATATAGCGGCATTTGTTTTGTCGTTAGTAAGCTTACAACTTTATTTGTACAATTAAAAAACCTTAATACTGGTAACATTATAACCCTTTTCTTATTTCAAGATATATGTGATATTTATATATCACAAAATAGTTTCTTGACTGTATTTGTTTTAGTTGTTACAACATATGTTTAGACCCATTTTTAAGCGATTTCAAAACCGCCCTTTCCTTGGTAGAACACAAACAACGTAAAACTATTATTGCCAATTGAAGTAATTATATTTGCGATGTAAAATAGATTTTAGTATACCCTTGCAAACAGTATTATAGTTTTAGTCAGCATTTTGTAGAACAGTGAAGAAGCTATCTTCGACCCTATAAAGTATGTACAATTTTTAACAGCATCACTATTATATTGTCTGTCTGTTAGTCAGTCTCTTTGCAAGCTCAGTTTAAAAGCCAGAGTCTTGTAACTTTTGCAATAATCTTTTTATATGTTTACCCATCAATTTGTGAAATTTGTTTTTTTTTAAGAAATATTTGTATTTATCAATGTTTTTATTTTGAGTTTTATTTAAATTGGATAACTACATCATGTCATGGTTGTCATTTATCTGCCATACTGTCTGTATGGGTCCTCGGAGTTTATTTGCACAGTGTAAGGGCTATCAACATATTCTTTAAGGTGATCAACAATGCTCGGTTTTATTGAAAAGGGTATTTAAACTTCGGCTCTCCCAAATTAGCTTCCGTTCTCGTTTTGCTCTGAAGTGCAATACATTACTCACCGTGGTTGTGGCCGGTGTGGTGGCCGTGTGCGGCGTGTAGGCGGCGTACGCCGGCTGGGGCAGCGGCGCCGTATAGCGGTAGGCTGCCTGCTGGGCAACGGCAGCGGCGGCGGCGGCAGCGGCCGGGGCATAGCCCTGCGGGGTCCAGCTGGCGGCGCCGCGGTACGGAGCACCGGCGGCCAGAGCGGCGCCTGCGGCAGCGGCTGCGGGACTTGTCATGGCCGGGGGCCGCTGGGGGAGGGCGCCCTTGAGTGCGACGGCTGAGGCGGTGAGCGGGGCGCCGGGGAAGGCGCTGCGCGGTGTTGGCGGTGCGGCGGCGGCGCTAGACGAGCTCCCCTAAAAAAAATATGAATAAGAAAGAGGTTAGCTGGGTAATGAGTACTGAGTAAAATTTAGTAAAAATTATTTAGACATCGATTAAATCGATATAATACCTAAAATTGTAGGAATTTTTAGTTAGGGTAAAAAAATATAACATACACTTTATAGAAAACGTTCTAGTAAACAAATTTATGCCGCAAAAAATGTATTGAAAAATAAAAAGAATTTTGACAAACACCGTCGATTAAAAGTAAAAAAAAAACATTGATAGGTTGAAAAAAAGGTTTCAAAAATTTTAAAGATCACTAAATTTTTAACAAATAGTGAGAAGTAAATCGGACCAATTTTATTTTGCAAAATATCGTATCTTGGGACTACTTTGCCAACCCTATGATAACATTCAGGTGGGAAATATGGAACGGACATTACCAGGTTTCTCCACAGTGCGGTTTTAGTTTCGGCATAAATAATCTGGTTTTGTGCGGGGTTTTTGTTCTGGCGTAAATAAAAACCGCAGAGCGGCAGCTGCGGCTCGGCTGTAAAGCTTTTGTTTACCGCTAGAAAAACCGCCATGACATCCGTTCTAATGCACACATTGCAGGCAGTGCATATGAATCATAGCAGGGAGATTTTGTTTTATTGAGTGCCAGTTGCGCATTCATTCCAAAACGATAGTGTAAAATTAAAATGGAAATATTCTACAGTGAATTGTACCTCGTAATACGAATACGAATAATTCCAGCCATTTTAATTAATCCATTTACTGACTAGTTCATAAAATCTGTATTCAATAATGGGAAATTTGTTTGGCGTAGGAAAGTAAAGCTTGCAATTGAAACGATTGATAGTTATATCCCACTCGGCTATGCAAATAAAAATGCAAATAAGTAAAAAACAATTTCAAAGTACACAAATAACTAATTTTTCCAGAGTGTACATATTCTACGAATATGTTATTATACTTTTAACAGATTTATAATCGAAATCAATTATTCTGCTTCCTGTACAGTTACCCAAAATCTTGTAAACACCATTGCATCTCTTTTAAAGAGCGTACAGGGTATCTATATAGAAACATGCCTGCTATAAATAATTCCCCCTCTTAACTCCCTATTCAGTGGAAGGGAGCACATAGGGGGCAGAGGGCGGTGGGCTGTGGGCGGTAGGCGTGGACAGATGCAACAGTCGCCGGGTGTCCTTGCTGCCGGGTCGCTTCCTGTGTGAGTGTGTGCTCCAGTTTTGCATTGCAAATGCATTTGTTGCTTTGGGCCATTTTTTTGCGCACTCCCTCACCAGTTCTTTGGGGTCACTTGGCATAAACACAAATAAACCCGCCACGGTTGGCTCACATATAGAAATTTATATTCCACAAAAATATAAATGGTGAAAAAATGTGATGTTTTTGGGAATTCTCGGTGTCGTTTCGACGAATCTTTCATGGCATAAACAAAACTGAAAGAAAAACCAAATAAAATAAGGTGAAAACAAACGCAACGTAACAGGAAGCAAACGAAGTCCGCCATTTTTATTTTCGGCCTGATTGAGGTAGGAAGGAACTCGTGTGTATGTCCTGGTTTCTAAAAGGATTCAGTGGGTGCCTTGCGTGCTGTCGCTGATTTTCCAATTGCAAAATATGGCAAATATTTGATTTTCAGTTTGTTTTTCACCCTATTTTTTTCACATTTCTCGCTCTCGCGCACTCGTTTATTTCTTTTTTTCGTTGAGGTGGGCTTCACGTTTTCAGTTAATTTTCGTGGGCACGCAATTCGAATGCGGTTTTGCGGGAAGTGAAGGCTGAACTGTGGGTGCCTGTAATTTGGCAGTTAAATGGCAGAGAACGAGTAATAATGGTTTGCCATTCGAATTGGAGTGGAGGACGTGTGTGTTTGCCAGGTGGAAAATGGGGGTAAAAACGTAAATCGAGGAAGGCGTGACAGCATTTTGACATAAACTTCAGTCCAAGGAATTGGATTTTTCAAGCCAAGGTACGTGATAGCTTAAGGCAAATGGAACCATTAATAATGTATTTTGGCTTAGCCCTTTTATAAAACCCAGTCATTAAAGCATTTAAGGAAAGTAAACATTTTTTGTTCTTTCAACTAACACATTGAAAATAAAATGATTTTACCATCTTAAAGTGCATAAAAAGTAAAATGTTTTAGCTAATTTATATCTTAACAAGAAAGGAAAGCTAACTTCGGGCGGAGCCGAAGTTGATATACCCTTGCAGAATACTCTATAATTATATTCTCCAAAATTATTCCTACGATGCATTCTTAATACTCATAAAAAATCCAAACTTCCAATCTTTAAAAACACCAAAGTTATGGCATTTCCAATCGTTCAGTTATATGGCAGCTATAGGATATAGTCGGCCGATCCTTATGAAATTTGGTAGGTCGGATTGATTGGCCAAATATAAAACCCATCCTAACTTTACAAAAACGAAAGTTATGGCATTTCCGATCAATCAGTTATATGGCAGCTATAGGATATAGTCGGCCGATCCCGGCCGTTCCGACTTATATACTGCGTGCAAAGGAAAGAAGGGTGTGTGCAAAGTTTCAATTCGATAGCTTTAAAACTGAGAGACTAGTTTGCGTAGAAACAGACAGACGGACAGACGGACATGGCTATATCAACTCAGGAGGTGATCCTGATCAAGAATATATATACTTTATAGGGTCGGAGATGTCTCCTTCACTGCGTTGCACACTTTTGACCAAAATTATAATACCCTCTGCAAGGGTATAATTATTTAAATGTAAATATTAATTTAATATATTTCTATGCTTTAACTGTGAATAAAAAGCTTATATAAATTGTTATATTTTAATTAAATATATGTTCAAGACATTTATACGAGCCAGATAGCTGAACAATTTATATAGCTTTATTTTCTATCATTCTTTTTTGCATTCATTTCAACAACATAAGCTGAAAAGTAGGCTTAAAAAATGTTGTACAAATTGCCAACACATTGGCACCATAGATTTTCCTTAAAAGTTGCTTCAAAATCCATTTCACCATCTCATTCCCCATTTATTGCGATTCTTTCCTAGCACATGACAGGCGAAACACCACCATTCCCCAACACCCATCAATTGCCTTCGGTGGGTCATAAAATGGAATGGCCAAACATTTTAAGCGCACAAATGCTATAAATTTAAGCCGCTAAATTAGACACGTTTGGCACATTGAGCCAAGCTACACACACACACACCTCATGAAAACACCCCAACCCAACGGCCACCGAAAATAATCATAAAGGTAATTATTTTATCGTTCGTTCAAATTCGCTTAATTTTAACGTTGACTGCAACGACGTCTGGCGGCTGGAAAAATTTCTCTACACAGGTATATATAGAGGTATATAGAAAGCTAATGGAAAATAGGAAGCCTCGGTGGCTGGCCTACATCCTCCAGCCTTAATGGGCAGCTGTGGCTGTTTTTGGCGAGAAAAAGGAAAAAGGAACGTGAATAGGAACGAGGACGTGATTAATTACCAAATTGGGAGCCATTATCGCGTGCACTTCGAGGGTGTTTGTAAAGTTTTTCCAACTCACGCACACACACAAATACACAGGAAGAAATAAAATAACTTAACAATTGACATTATATAAATTATAAGTTTCTTAAGATCTTCTATTTATTGTTTGGTAAAAGTATTTTCTGTAAGTTTTTTGTTTCGAAATATTATTAATAAATATTTTAAGTTATCAACTACAAAAATAAGGTTATTGTATCATTCACTGTTGGTTTCGAATTTTATAAATTTCCAATATATATTTATTTTTATTTTAAGGAACCGAAAGGCTGATAAATAAAAGTTAAACTTTTTTTTTATAAATTCTTTTCATTGTTTGGCAGATTTTGTGTCAATAAATATTCCAGGATAAAATATTTTAATTGATCACTTACAAAAATATAGTTTTCGATAACGTTTAGTAGAAAAAAGGAAATTTTCTCGTATTTATTTTCAGTGCACAACTGGCTTTCCTTGCTAGTAATTTGGTCGTATTTCAAACATTTCTGTTGACGCTTTTGTTCTATATTCTATTACCCCGAATACTGCTCGCCTATGTTATTGGTGTTCGCTTAATTTTTATGCAAAAAACGTTTCGTTTTGGTTCTTTCAGCCGTTATCCTGCGATAGTCCTTCCTGGGGCAAAATCAAGCGCAAAATATTAATGATAATAATTTATTACCAACTGACAGGTGGAGAGACAGGAGGCACGCAGATGGTCGGGGGCTTTTGGGGTTTTCGGAGTTGCTATGGGGCGGGTATCCTCTGATAAACGCTTTGTGATTAGCGGTCGTTGTTGCTGGTGTAGCTTCGTGGCTACGACGAGGAGCCTTTGTCATTTTTATTGTCATTTTTTGAAAATTTATGCGCAAATTCGATTTTGCTGCGGGCGGATAGAAATACGTGAGTGGGTATAATGTGGGCGAAAAAAGGGGAGTGAGTTGAGTTCCGGTCTCCTGATGCTTTAAGAAGGATAGGAAATTTAAATAGGATTAAAGGCAAAGTATTTATTCAATTAAATTTATTGAGAAATTCAAAGAAATAGAGCAGGAAGAGAATAGAGATTAATTTTTTAAATTAAGATATTTGCATTGTATAGATGTTGATATCTACAATAATATTAATTTTGATTAATTTTGGTATTAAACATTTTTCAATTTAATACATTTTTGGATGTTCTTTATTACAAATGTGGAAAATTTTTAAGCTCGTATTCCTTTGCTTAAACCTTTTAAAATCTAAATCTACCCTTAAATACCCATTGAAAAATTTTCAAATTACTTAATGCAAAAACTAGTTGAATAGCAGATGAAAAACTTAAAAAAAAATAAAACTGGGACTCTCGGCTCACGACTCACTTGCCATGCAAAGGCACCAAAAACGACGAAAGTGGAAAGCATGAAACAAAAAATATTTGCATTTTCCTCAAGAAATGTTTGCACACACTCATAGACAGACGCACACACATACACACCCAAACATAGCTGTC